TGGGGGGGGGGGGGAGGGAGAAAGTTTTGTCCGCACAGAACAGGAGGATGGGGAGCACTGCATCCCGGGATGTTGGAGAATTGCAACTTGGGTGTCTTATCTGTGGGGACTGGCCATACAATAATGTAACATGAGCTGGGTAACTGGGGTGGCATAACTCCTAAGCTGCCTACAGTATGCTTAAAACTAAGGTAGTAATGTGTGAACAATCCAGAGGTTAAGAGCTCCAGTAGCCACTTAAAATGAATGTGTAACAAGGCCCTAAGATTCATGGAGAACAGAATGGTGAGAAGAGGACCACCTACATTAAGCAGTAGGAAATGCTGAAAAGAGGGCATGGCTTAACTCCTGCCTCTCAATATAGTTAGGTGTTCAAGGGCAGCCTGAAAAGGTGAATATAGGACCATTTGATATCCTTAGCTGTGAATTCTCCTGGAGTGAGAGGATTGATCTGGTCCAGGCAATCTCCTCAAAAGCATTACTCTCAATAGCTCAATAGTTAGGATACTCATCTATGAATTACCATCTCTGCCTGTTTTAGAACCTTTTTTTTTTTTTTTTTTTTTTATTTATTTTTTTACATTCTAGGGAAGTGGCCTTATTGGGATGTTACATCAATTTTAGACCCTTTTCTCTGAATGCATGAATATCTAATTACAGATTGAGAGAGAATTTGACCTAAGAGTATTCAAGAACACTCATCTTGGATATCACCCATTGATTAGGTGATCCCAAATCTGTTGGGTACAATGAAGGGCCTGTACAAACATTTCATGCTTCAGAACAATTCAAGAGTGGCAAAGCTATTTGAAAAAGCTGGGGTTTTTTTTGTTTTTTGGAATTTTTTTTTTTTTCCTCTCCCATAATGTATGTAGAAACATGCATATTCCTGTTTTAGTGATGAAGGTCTCTCCATGGGCTGGCAAATGGTTATAATATAAAAAGGCTCTTCTAGCTAGAGCGTAGCTCTTATCAGGCAGTATCTGCAGTCACTATTAAATCAGGAATAAGGGTGATAGATCGGATTTTGGGATTAAAAGAGTGCATGTAATACCCAGAAATTGGTGTGAAAACAAGCACCAAGAAGGGTATTCTTATCTCATGATATTTCAGAGAATTATGAGAGCTTTTTTTTTATATATATTAAATTCATATTTCCCCATGCATTTTGTTTCTGTTCTTAGTGTTCTGCTGCTGAAATGTTTCATGTACTTTTTTTATATTAATAGTTGCTCTTGTTTATGCATAGTATAATTTTGGTCAGCTACAATCCTTTGTACAGCAAAACCCACCAAAGGGGGGGGCGGGGAAAGCTTCCCACCCCACTCTCTTTTTTTTCCCCCCCCCCCTTCTTTTTCAAAGGAGGGGGTGGAAGGTTTGGGAAAGCCTCTGCTATGCTTGAGGGGTTTCTCACATACCAGAAAAGTGTCTTAACAGTTATCACTGTTCCATGTTTTATAACATATTTCTTTATGACTTAGTGAATATTGAAGTAATGATGGTCCTAATGTAATAATATATATTATTACCCACTTCCCCCTTTCCTCACTCTACCAATTGCTGTTCCGTTGTCCAATCATCATCCATACTGTCACCCTGGTGCATGAGCACATCCAGGAGGACAGCTAGTTCACTTGGAAGCAGTGCCTCATAAGATACTGGAGGACTGCAGATCACTCATTTGACCTCCACGGAACATTTAGAAATTTAAGCAAAATTGAGCTGTCTAGTACAGCTCAAAAATAATCTTGGCCTCAAGTGGCTTAATTTTAAAGTGCCTAGAGCAGTGGTCCTCAACCTTTTGTACCAGGAACCCATTTGTAAACATCAATGGCCAGTCCTGACCCTAGTGCCCCTCACTCCTAGCCCAGTACCCTGCACCTCCAATATGTGGGATGGGGGGTGGTGGCCAAACAGCCCCTTGCAAAAACTCTGACAGCTTCCGAGGGAAAAGCCACAGTTTTCCACATTATTCTCCTTTTTACAGGAGAATCCATTGTTAAAGCTTGTTCCCAACCGTTTCATATATTCTTGCAAAAAAAAAAAATAAATAAAAAAATGGGTCACGGCCCATGGATTGAGAAATGCTGTCATAGAGTGCAGTTCATGCTAGCTAGCTAGCTAGCTTGAGCATTCATTCAAGTTTAAGTGTTATTAAAATGAGCTGGTTGTAATGTACAT